AGCAAGGTGTATCTGGTCCTCCTGGTCCAATTGGTGAATCGGGTGCGCCTGGTTTGCCGGGTTTGACAGGTATTTCATACGAGATAATAAATATTATATTAAATTAATGTTAAAATTCACCAAATATCAGGTCCTAAAGGCCCGCAGGGAGAAGAGGGCAAAAAGGGTTTGTAATTCTAATAAAAATAATGTATTGTATTTAAACAATGAATGTCTATTTTTAGGTGACGTCGGATTCCCTGGACTTCCAGGTTTAGTCGATAAATGCTATGATAAGACTTTAAGAATAAAAATATGAATCAATATTATATGAACAGGAAGAGTAGGAGTGCCAGGTCCTATGGGACCTCCCGGTCCATCGGGCCCTCAGGGGGCGCCCGGAATACACGGTTTGAAAGTAAGAAATTTATTCTCAGTTCGTTTGTATCTAAACTAATCAACATTTTTAGGGCTCAATGGGAGATCTCGGTAGACCGGGAAACCCGGGACCGCCCGGATCTCATGGACCACAAGGAATACCCGGCCCTAAAGGACAGGCGGGAGAAGCGGTAATAAAGTTTTAAATATGAATGACGAGCACAACATTATATACAAACTAATTGCAGGGATCTATTGGACAACCGGGACCTCAAGGTATTCCAGGACCTGTTGGCGAAAGAGGTATGACTTTAACGATTAAATTTTAATATTTACAAAAAAACTACATATAAATGTGCAATATGCAGGTCACCCTGGTCTACCCGGAGCACCTGGAAAACAGGTTTGAATGGTTTAAATTAAAATGTTCATAAATATAAGTATGAAATTATTTGTTAATACAGGGACCTCAGGGACAGCGCGGGTCTCAGGTATGTCTGAATTGTGTTTCATTACAAATAAAATTTAATAAAATTCATTATAAATGGATTTGAAGGGCGAGAGAGGAAACGATGGAAAGGCCGGTAAAGACGGAGAACAGGGACCGCAAGGAAATCCCGGTCCGGCGGGTCCGATGGGACCAATCGGTGAACAGGGATTACAGGGAAATTCTGGTAAAGAAGGACCACCAGGACCTGCGGGCAGACCCGGAGATAAGGGTATAAACAAATAATCATTTTTGAATTATATTGAATATAATGTAAAAATGGTTGCTTTCTATACAATTAGGCCCAATCGGAAGCCCTGGTGCTCCCGGACCACAGGGCACACCAGGACTGCCCGGTCCTATCGGCCCAACCGGAGCGGGAGGTCCTCCGGGTGAGAGAGGATCCGCGGGTGAATCGGGACCGCGCGGTGTTCCCGGACCTCAGGGGTCGAGAGGACTGCCGGGAACTCCCGGTAATCCCGGACTCAAAGGAGACACTGGATATCAAGGTTTGGCTCAAACAGTAATTTACTATTCGATGTTATTTACAAAACAATTGAATATCAGGTGAAAAGGGAGATAAAGGACATCGAGGGCTCATTGGTATGCAATTCAAACATTTGTTGATAAACTTATCTCAATTTTTAAACACAATTTAATCCTTATATAGGTTTACAGGGATTGCCGGGACAGGCGGGTCCGGCTGGAGACAAAGGTCCGATCGGTTCAACGGGTCCGTCAGGATCTCCGGGCGCTCCCGGAGCTAAGGGTCCGCCGGGAAGAGATGGAGCGCAGGGTTTGTTAATTGCTTGTAAAACACAATTATTTGATTTATAAATATTTGTATATAAAAGGCTCGCCGGGAGTGTCGGGTCCGATGGGGCCGAGGGGTGAACGAGGAAACGACGGCAAACCGGGTAACCCTTTGGCAACTCTTTCATGTAATTTAAGTATTGAACTAAACTTTTTGACCAAAATATAGGCCAACCGGGAGAGAGAGGACCGGCAGGACCTGCAGGTATGCATCCATTGAATGTATTAATGAATTCAAATAACACATAAGTTTTAAAACAGGATCTCCGGGCGAACCGTTCGCTTACGATGCGGCGGCTTTGGCGGCCATTTTGAACCAATCGGGCGGACAAACTAAAGTAAGTCACTTCACATGTCATTTCATATCATTATTAACTGAATGATTGTGTTGTTTGTGTTGGACGTCAGGGACCGGACCCTATGCTCGGCGATCAACCGAATCGTCTCTTTTCAACCGATGTATCGCTTGAGGAGAAAAAGAAAATAGTTTTCGAGTTTTACGACCAACTCGTCAAAGAGTACGAGAAACTGAGGCGACCCACAGGTGAGAGGGACTCACCCGCCAAGACATGCAAAGACTTGTCTCAATTGCATCCACACTTCGAAAGCGGTAAAACATTGACCACATTTTGGGGTTTGAATTGTTTGCAAACATTATCTCCATATCAAAGGAGTCTATTATATCGATCCGAACGAAGGAAATTCAAACGATGCCATTCAAGCCTATTGTGATATGTCTACGAAGTCGACGTGTGTTATGCCGGCGCCCATCACTGTTCCCGTCAGAGCTTATAATAAAGAATCCAAATTTGGACACAATTGGTTCAGTGAAATGAAAGGAGGATTTACTGTGAGTTTTATATTTCTAGCAATTATTTTGCATTTTATGATTACAGTACATTTGAACACATATTTAAATTAAATGATAAATTGGTTTCCAGTTTGCATACAAAGCGGATAGCATTCAAATAAACTTTTTGCAACTCTTGAGCCAAAACGCTGTCCAGAATATCACATATGTTTGCAAAAATTCGGTCGCTTTTTATGATGAAGCGAAACACACGCACAGAAAGGCTGTAAAACTAATGACTTATAATGACATAGAGCTGACCGCCGATGGAAATCATATGTTCACCTATCAGGCCATTAGAGATGGCTGTCAGGTCTGTATTGTGCTTATTATTGTCTCATATTTCATATCATTATATGTTTGATTTTTTAGAAACATAACGACCAATTGGACAGCACTGTTATTGAATATAAGACGGGTACTTTATTATAATAATTTAATTTTAAATAGAAATGATTTTTAGATTTAGATTTTACATTTATAAGATATAAGATGTTGGTTATTTTTACAAAATTGTGTGTTTAATTGTTTAGATAAACCGCAGAGACTTCCACTTCTCGACATCGCTGTCAGGGATATTGGAGGGAAGGATCAAGAGTTTGGTCTAGAGTTGGGTCCCGTTTGCTTCAATTAGGCTATATTTCAATTGTTGTTTTGTTATCAGTTTATCCCAACATTAGATTATGTAAAGAAATTATCAACCAATTTCTTGAATATAATCTTCAGAAACTATATAAATATTAATTAAATGTTTATAATTAAAGTCATATTATAGTCAATTAATTTTGTTTAATTATAAATGATGTTTAAAAATCCTTGTATAAATGTTTAGTCAATTAATGTTTAAATAAATATTATTCAAAATATTTATCGTTTAAATGGCTTTAAACCGCTATTTTATCGCACAATTAAGTTTTCTTACAGATTATAATGACGTAAATCACAGTTTTATGAGTTTAATGCTAAAACATTTTAAAACATATCATATTTTAAAACATTTTATACATGTTTTCTGTTAAATAGTGTTTTAAATGCAAATTATATGGTATTATTGTTGAACACAATTGATTTATGTATTTCTTATTCTAATCTTTGACATTTGATTACATTATTTTAAACAATACCAATCATTTAAATGCAGTGTTCATATCAATAGATTCCATGCGATAGCTATAAAATTTAATGTTAAAAACAGATTAAAAGTTGTAAATTAGATAAGCTGAATAAATACCATAATCGAACCATGCACACTCAAGAATAAAAGTAGCCGACATCTAGATATTTATATTTTATTCACAATAATATGAATTCCTATCTAAGGATAGATAGAAGAAATGAATGTTAAGTAAGAATCAATATCTTATGTAATGTGAGAATTATATATTAAGCCGACCGTTAAAGTCAACATCAAAAGAGTGGAAAATTATACAAACATTTGATAAGTTATTTGAATAAAACTATTTAATGCTTAACACCAGACATTAGGTCAAAGTTTTTGCCATTTAAAACTCAATTTCTTATGTAACCCGAGAACCAGTTGTGTTGACGTGAAATCCCAACTGTCCTTGAAATCCGATCAAAACTTAAATCTAAAAATTTATTTTACGCCAAAAATCACACAATTTTCCATATAAATGATGGCATTTAATGAAAAAAAAAACTCAAAGTAATTGAGTTTTTCGTAATTTAAGTTTTGTATTAAATTTCAAAAGTGAATGCAAAATGAGTTGGTTTAGTGGTGTTGTGAGGGCCGAGTCGGACAAGATATATGGCGTTCAGGAGGCATATGTGGGCGACAAACGAGACGACAAAATCAATCTAAGTATTGGTGTTTATAGGGATGAGAGGGGAAAGCCGTTTATCCCTCCGAGTGTTGTAAAGTGTGAGCAAATGCTTATAAAACAGAATCC